GGAAGGGCAAGACCCTAGCCACTAAAAAAATAAAAGTAAAAAACAAAACCAAGATCTCCAAGTGGGATCTAGGACCATAATCCTCGATGCTACGCAAAAACCTGAGCTGCCTCTAACAAGTGGGGGGCTGTACCTCCTGCAAATGGCGATATAACCCTTCCTTCAGCCGTGTCCTTAACCGCTTCAAGACCAGGTGTTTAGACCCCCTTCCTGTCCAGGCCATTTTTCAGTGTTCAGCGCTGCAGTACTTTGATTGACGTTTATTCCGCCATGCAACGCTGTACTGAAATGAATGTTATACAATTTTTTGCGGACAGATAGAGCTTTCTTTTGGTGGTATTTAAACACCACTGGGGGTTTTTATTTTTTACTATAATTAGGAAAAATTACAGAAAATTTTGAAAAAAAAAAGTTTTTTTAACATTATGTTAGGAAACATTTATTATTACCCAGTTTTTTGGTAAAATATAAAAGATCGGGTCACGTCGGGTAAATAGACACCAAACATGTCAAGCTTTAAAATTGCGCGCACCCGCGAAATCGCAGAAAACTACCATACCAAAAATTGGCCATAGGCGACACTTTAAAAGCTTTTACCGCTCATCAGTTTAGTGTTTAGGGCTACTAAAATACCCCTATGTGATAGCATATGTGACAGGTCCTCTTTATGGAGACATCAGGGGTCTCCAAGACCCATGTCACCTAGGACCCCCCAAAAGAAGCTGATGAAGCAGAGATCTGCTCAGTCAGCTTCTTTCCAGCTTCTGAAGCTGGAGAGTGACACAAGAATGCGGAAGTGATTTATTATACAACACTTCCGCATTCTTGCAGAGGAGAGGGGACCGGAGGGAGCTCGTGTAACGATTTCCCTCTGATCCCCTGTGACATAGGCGACATGCTGATCCCGGGCTCGCACCGGGGACAGCGGAGCCCGCGATCAGCGGGACAACGGCAGGGGGCACGGAGGGGGGGCACCAATCGGCACCCCATACACGCGATCCGCCGGCTCTAAAGCCAGCGGATCGCTTGTATGGTATCAGGCATCGCTGCCTGTTTTT